CCGTTAAACGGATTAACCCCAAAGTCTTAAAGGCAGTTTTGTTTAGCTTTGTCCCCTCCACAATCACTTTTCTCCAATTCTTGAAAGAGTAAGTCTAGGACTGTTGCAGACAAGGGCTTAAAGCATTAGCCGACAATAAGTAGCTCCCTATTCACAAACGGCTTGAGAAACGTGTGTCTTTTCTTGCAGTTGTGAATGTTGAGCTACTGACTGGCTTTGAGGGTCAGCAGATGCTCTAAGTCAACTAGCGGTGCCCCTGTCCAAGGCTTCTAGTTTCAAGAATCTGAGAAAAGTGCATGTGGAAGGGGCAGAGATAAAAGTTGAATGGTTAACCCCAAAGTCAATCCCGCACCAACAGTTTAACCACTAAAGTTAAGCCGGCGCCAGGGACCACCTGGCAGTATAATATCTACATTCTGCTGTAGTTATGGTGCCCGGAGTGTTCCTTTAATGTGAAACATGTTCTTTGCAGCAAGTTAAAAAACAAGACTATGAGCGAAAAAAGGACATTGTTACAACCATTCAGGATAAACCATAATGAATGTGCCAACCCAAAATGTAGCATTATGTAACTTACTCTCAACAGCATGTACTGCACAGGACAGGCAGGAAGGAAAAAAAGACACCAATTCTTAATTACAAAGAGCAAGGGATGATTCATTGTTTTTCAATTGCATTATTCCCCCAAAACACTATTTATTGCCGTGATCCGTTAATCAAGATTTGCAAAGAACATAGGGACAGAAAAAGCAAAGGTTGAATATCTTTCACACTTTTTAATGTAGTGACTTAGAAATGAAATAAACACACACAAACACCAAGAGAAATATAAAGATATATACTAGAAATAACTAGACAGGTGCAAAACGTTTGTCTCAGGTGTTTTGTCTGATTCAAATGCCTTTTAATCCACACCCGGACAAAAATCGACCTTCCAGGATTTACCTGTAGAGTCACACTGTAGATTATTATTATTTATATAGCGCCAGCAAATTCTGTAGCGCTGTACAATGGGAATCCATCCAGGTGTCGATTAAAAATCATTTGATTCGGACAAACAGTCTGAAACACACTTTTCACAAGTCAGAAATAATTCAAATGACAGCCCCCATTAATGTTATGGACCCTTTTAACTCTATGTTTTAGTTAAGAGTAATAGCAAGGTTCCAATTAGTAGAGCTACAGACAAAAGTGGAACTGACTGTTCACATTTTTTTTTTTTCCGACTAGTGAGTGGACTGCAGTTTAACCCCTTAAGGACCAAACTTCTGGAATAAAAGGGAATCATGACATGTCACACATGTCATGTGTCCTTAAGTTGTTAAAAAGGACATAACCTACAGCAATGCAACTTTACTGCATTTAAAAAGGTTATGGTCTCATTCATGCTGCACTTTTCTATACATTCAAGTTTAATTATATTTATGGTTTAAACAAGCGTTTTGCATCCTTCTGCAGTGTTTCTCCACAATCTTAGCCATGTGTCTTCTATTTAAAAAGGAAGAGAGAGTAATACATACTCAGCTTAGCCAAAGTGTGAACAGAGTTGCTGACATGTAGCTACATAGTCCCCCTCATTGGTTGTTCTCTCCTTTTTTTTTTTTTATATAAATATTATTCCCCCCAAAAATATTACAAACAATATCATTTATTGAGATTTTTTTATTTAAAAAAAATTAAAAAATAAAATCAAAACTATTAAAACCTTTTTCCTAAATGTTAGTTTTATCGAAACACATTAAGTGAAGGTATTAATCAGAAGACAGTGACTGGCATCTGATCTCTCATTATTGTGTTTATGATTAGGCATTCTATGTTCATTCTTCAGCCTGGCCCATCTAGTCTTTCCCTTTACCATTATTCTCAGATTCAAAAACAAACCAGAAAGTGACAGCCGTTTTGGAGCAACCTGAAATCTTTTTTACCTGCACACCGGGTCTCGGTCTGGTAGCTCCATGGAGCAGAGGACCAGACTATAAAAAAACATTTATCTCACATCCAATTATCACCATGTATGTGAGCACATTGAGTAAAAAAAATAAAAATAAAATAATCAAAAAACAGAAATTACCATGGAAACCAATAAATCATTCCATGCTTTTTTTTTTTTTAAACACACACAAGTGTAAGAAACAATCTTGCCTGCATTAACCATTCCAAGGGAAAAACACATTATTAAAGCCATTTTATGGCACATAATGGAGATTAGAAATGCAGAGGCCAAAAGGAACGTAATGTACCTGAGCCATATACTATTAATGACAATGATAGGAAAAAAAAAAAAAAAAACCACGAGTTGAAGATATGTTGCAGGTGTGTGCATTGTACTCCCTTGTCACAACCTTCACCCCGGCAAATGTTTAAGTAGTGTTCAAGAGGTAAGAGGAGTAATAGTTTGCAGTTAAAGGGACACTGTAGGCACCCAGACCACTTCTGCCCATTGGAGAGGTCTGGGTGCCAACTCCCACTACCCTTAACCCTGCAGGTGTAATTATTGCAGTTTAATAATCTTTTTTTTATAAACTGCAATAATTACATTGCAGGGTTAACTCCACTTCCTGCTTCATAGCACAAAAAACCTCTGTGAGGACCTCCATCGTTGCTCAATTCCCCATAGGAAAGCATTAAAAAGCATTTTCAATGCTTTCCTATGGGGAGTTCTAATGCACATGCACGGCATTGCCGCGCATTAAGTCTCCCCGGCCGGTGGGCGGGATCAGTCTTGCCCACCGGCCGACGTAATGCAGCAGGAAGAAGCAGCGACGTGGGACATGTCGCTGCCTATGGTAAGTGACTGAAGGGGTTTTCACCCCTTCAGCAACCGGGGATTAGGTGGTGGGAGGGAGAGGGGACCTGCAGTGCCAGGAAAACTGATTGTTTTCCTGGCACTGGAGTTTCCCTTTAAATTTA